AATTTACACCATGGAGGGCAGGGTACTACGAACACATTTGGGTAGAAGCCTGACCTTAGTTCCAGCTGATCTACCCTGTGTATAGCGCCCTTTTCGAGCAAAACTGCTACTTCTTGCCTGATTGCTTCCGCCTTGCAGGAGTCCCCTGGCACTGCCCATTAGGGGAGACACTGACGGGGGAAATGGAGATTTCAGCAGTATCCCGCAACAGGATGTCACCACCTCGAAAGGTCCAGGGATTGGTCACCCGCTGTCTCCAAAACCGGACTACACTGGTGCAATCTATGTATGCCAGGGATATGTGGCCATGAGTGTGGCAGTTGCGAGGGGGGTGCTCTTTTCTCCCATGAGATGAGTTTCCCCAAGGCCTGAAGTAGTCACTAAGTTGTGACCTGACCACTCGCCAAGCACATGCCTGTTCTCTGGTTGCAGAGGTAAGCATCAAAACATGCATCCCATGCTGCCGGGTTGGACAGCTGCCCAAGGAGGGTGGAGAGCCACCACCTGACCCTTTCCTCCCTGGGAGCGTGCCGCTACTCTTCCCTCCCATGGAAGGGTATGAGCGCTTGCCTCCTGGCTAGCTGACAATGCCCTAGGGCATTGTGTTTTCTGTGCTTGGGGTAGCCTCTGCCTACACTTGGCAGGGCCAACTGGGTAGCGGATTCTGAACCCTCTGGTTCATTGCACTCCGAAGTACCGAGACTGTACCCACCATTCCCGAACCAAGAGGGTGGAAGATGTCCAGTCTGCGTCACTGAGGTGGGGGACGTACACACTGACTCAGTTTGTCGGAGAAAACACATGGGTCTAAGACCACGTTCATAGCACAGTAGTGGCCACGGCCAAGAGAGCCAGGTGACACTAGGGGGTGTTGCACGTAGAAGTGTGGTGGCCCACCAGTAAATGTGTCGCCTGGTCCAAGAGGCTAGTGCGTTCTGCCTCCGAGGTCTCCAGAGTCCTGGGCGCGCACAATAATGCGCTCAAGCAACTCTGCCCTCAGGGCTGGATGGGTCGTCTCCGATTGACCTGGCGAGAACGCCCATGGAACGCGGCTGTACCCCTTTGCCCGGTTTGCCAAATGGAAATTCGTGGTACCCCGGTCTGGGGAAGGAGCCTTGGGATCCGGTTTGAGGCGTTTTGGTCTCATCCCACACTATGGGGTCTGATCCCAAAACCACTTCAACCGGGTAGCGGTAAGTGTTGCCTAAGGTTTTTCCCCACCCAGGGGCCTTCAGCATTACCTCGTCCGCGGCTGACCAACATCCACCTATCAACACCGTTTGCGTGCCCTGCTCCCCACTCTGCACTCGGACGGACAGGGAGAGATGTGCCAACGGGGTTGCTTTGCTTTGGAACTGAGGTTCCCTGGAAGAGATGTGTTTGAATGCAAACCTGCTTTTGTGTTTCTTCCTGCTTGCCCACCGAGTGGCCACAGTGGCGACAGCTCGCTCTGACTACGTCTGATCTACCCGGCCTGCCAGGGATGCAATTGCCCCGACAGCCCTTCGACCAAAGCCCTCAACTTGGAGGCAAACTCGGCGCCATGCAAGGAAGGGTCCACAAAAAGACCCACAATGGGCCCCATAGGAGAAAAGCCACCAGGGGCAGAGCCTTGCTGCAGCAAGTAAAATTGGGTAAACCACCACCTCAAAAAACAGACTGCGAGGAGGATGCCCTTCGATCAGGAGGGGAGACCGAGAAAAATATCGGTACCTCCATCATCGGGCCTTCTACTCAACGTCTCAGTACACGAAGCACCGGTAGCCGAGTGTGAGGACTTTCCACTCATGCCAAACACGCAACTCACTTTAACCAATTTGTTTACTTGACGTGCGACCTTGCTGTGAAAAAAACGAGCAATGCGGTCAGTCTCAGCAATTTTGATGGCTCTGAAAGACACAAGGAGACCAAAAAAAACTGCATCAAGCCCTGGTGCTGTGATTACATCTATACATTTCGAAATACATTGTAAATAAAAGACGACATGCATGAGGGAAAAACGAAATACAGTTGTAAAAGGTGCCGCCGCGAAACCAAAAAGTGGTTATGTAGTGGCGCCGGGTTTTCATTCTTTGTTGTGATACACACAAAGGGGAAAATGACACATGGGTAAAAATGACAAGGAAAACTTATCCTACAAGCTACAATGTCCCATGCAGTGCAGCGGCAACAACCCAAGCTAGAAACGCGGACAAGAAAAAAAGCAAGCGATCCAGGCAGAGTCGCTAAAACTTCATCGCCGTTGATGCTGAGATAAAGAAAGTGGATAGCCCTGATGGCGCCACCATATGGGCTCCGCCACGTGGTTTGTGACGTAAGGGAAAGAGAACCCTGGGGTCATGGGGCTTCCCCTGACCTAGATTCTATCTCTCCATCGCCGGCAGAATCGCTGATTTTGACTGACCGGAGTCTATGGTTGGTAATTGAACGTAGTGAATTTACACCATGGAGGGCAGGGTGCTGTGTGTTGTGAATTACACCATGGAGGGCAGGGTGCTGTGTGTTGTGAATTACACCATGGAGGGCAGGGTGCTGTGTGTTGTGAATTACACCATGGAGGGCAGGGTACTGTGTGTTGTGAATTACACCATGGAGGGCAGGGTGCTGTGTGTTGTGAATTACACCATGGAGGGCAGGGTACTGTGTGTTGTGAATTACACCATGGAGGGCAGGGTACTGTGTGTTGTGAATTACACCATGGAGGGCAGGGTGCTGTGTGTTGTGAATTACACCATGGAGGGCAGGGTACTGTGTGTTGTGAATTACACCATGGAGGGCAGGGTACTGTGTGTTGTGAATTACACCATAGAGGGCACGGTGCGGTGCTTTGTGTTGTGAATTACACCATGGAGGGCAGGGTGCCGTGTGTTGAGAATTACACCGTGGAGGGCAGGGTGCTGTGTGTTGTAAATTACACCATGGAGGACCATTCTTTTTTATTCAACAGTTTCAATCATCACCGTGAACGCTTTAACAGACATCAACCTCAATCGTTCCATTTATCAGATTAATTTAGTTCTTATAGTATCATCGCTGTTGAATTAATTCGCTCTGAATGTGTGAGTCATTTGTGTCATTATCTAAACGTTTGTCAGTTAATTACGTAACATAGTAGGCGTACTCACCTATGCTCACCCAATTTTATTTCAAAGTAAAATTGTATTGATCTACACGATTATTATTCGTTAGTTCCCAACCTTTGCATATGCAAGGGGTTTTGTTTCACTAAAGCTTACCTTCAAGCCGATATTATACAGTCCACTTATATAATACGAATCTAATTGAATATTATACAAACAATTACTGCGGCTAAATTTAATATACAGATTTGTTGACCCGAACAATTTAGTATATAGACCGTTCGTAGCCAGGGTGGTCAATACCTGCATTATTATATCGAATAATAAAAACATTTTGTTAAAGCATGCACTGTAATATATTGCCCATAGTTACAAAAGCAACCTCCAGTTCCAAATCGGGAACTTTCTTTTGAACCTCATGATCGAAAATATTTTCGAAGCGAGGCAGTGACCGTTCGGAGTCAGTGAAAATGGTTGACATGTTTGAAAACCTTTGCACAGAGCTGAAATAGTTATGGCATGGTATGAAATTGTATGATAAAGTGTTCTTTCGTATATAATCAAATGATATTGTGGTTAATGTAACAATTTGATTATCTGTCGATCAGTTCTCTGATTATTTTCATGGGTTTAAAGTGTACAATTGTATTAGACCGCGAAGGTCAGTCAGTATTTGGTCCATTTTCTGGAGGTGTCTTAACGCTAATTAGAAATAATTTGATTCACCATGTAAAATGTATTAAAATTGACCTAAATGATTGTTTTTCTTTTTCCAGAAAGAATTGTCTGGCTTTGATAAATATATCATCTATTGTCTATGTTTATTTACCTCCCCAAAATGCAACACTCTATGATAATCTTAAATCACGAAATGAAATTGAATTATTTGAAAAATCTTTGATCACCATTTTATCTACGTTTGATGACGCAAATTTGATTGTAAACGGTAATTTTAATGCCCGTACGGAAAATGAGCCATAAATGATAAAATCGATTATATTATAAATGAATTTCCATATATTGAAGACACCTTGAACATTCCATGAGCAACAATAGATAACATTTCTAACAATTTTGGGTGTACTTTGTTATCTCTTTGCTGCTCACACAATTTGCATATGTTGAATGGTAGAGTAGGCAGCGATGCAGGTGTTGGTGACTTTACATGTATCTCAAGTAACGGGGCAAGACTTGTTGACTATGTTCTTGTGTCGTCACCTATATTTACCGTTATCGCTGACTTTCTTATTACGACCCGTACAGAGTCTATCGCCGACCCTGTCGAACTGTTCTGCTTATTATTTGCAGATGATGTAGCAATGTTTTCAGATACGGTGATCGGGTTGCAAAGTTCTTTTAAAATATTAAGTAGTTACTGTGACAGGTGGAAAATGAAAGTGAATAGGGAAAAAAACAAAAGTTTTGGTTTTTAAAGCTGGTGGTCACTTTAAGGTGAAGAAATTGAGGCAGTTTCTTACTATAAATATCTTGGGGTTGTATTTTCTTGTCGACTTCTATGGTTTTATACAAACTTTGTACTATGATCATGCATATTTGGTTATTTGGTGCATGTCAATTTGTTTACAAGATTCCAACAAAAATGGCCGACAAGCAGCCATTTTGTTTTTATTCATGTCTGTGCTAATACATCGTCTGATTCAGATTAAAGTCTGCACACAATCCTCCCAAATAGCACTGTAAGTTTTGTTATTTTGTAATTTAATCAAATTTATGGCCATTTTGTCTTTACAAGGCAGTTCACTGCATGCACACACAGATACAAGTTAGTCCAGTGCTTAAACTACATTCAGGACATTGTTTCAGGATTAAAATGTCCATGTGACTTTACATTAAAGACAAAGATGTTTTATAAAACCTTGGGGTGTGTGTGTGTGTGTGTGTGTGTGTGTGTGTGTTGGGCGAGGCACTGTATATATTACAGTTCAGGTTTGTTGAATTGCCCAATGCACTATATTTATGCAATGGGGGAAAAATACTAAAAATGTCTATTACAGTTTATGCATCACGATTTAGAATTCTATATCTGGTCTGAACCAATTTTCAGTAATTATGCTTAAATTGGTTTAAACTTGTCATTTCTCTGATAAAGCTCACATATAGTTACTCCACAGATATTCATGTGCATGTGGAAACAGGTTTAAACTCTGATTATCAGTGTGTGCATAATTTTATGGTGTGCTAGTGTGGTGAAGTGTGAACATTTTTTTTTTCATCAGTTTTCTCATCACATGACTTGAATGTCATGACATTCCCATGGAGGTCATCAGGAAAAACAAAAAGTGTTGGTAAATCAAGCAAAAATGGAGAATTGTGTGTACTTTTTCCTTGTTGACGTCTGTACAAACATTCAGAACTGGGTGTGGCAGCCATCTTGCATTTTCAAAATGAGCGTAATCCAGTATTTACAGTAACTTTTCTTGTGATAAAATTATGGCCCACAAGTGCATGCATTTTTGTCAATGTTTCCATTCAATTTTACTACTTTTCCTTCAAATTTTACAACTTCCTATCCACATTTAGTGACTTTCCACTCAACTTTTATGACTTCTCAGCTAACTTATGTAACTTTGCAGCCAATTTTGCGACTTTTCAAATCAACTTATTCCACATTGCAACAAATTTTTATGTAAGACAATACATTCCCTCATATCTCCATATATACAATGATTTATGTTTTCAAATCTGAGAATAAATGCTTTTAAAATTCCTAATGCAAGGTATGCAAGGTAACAATTTTATTGTTTTCCAAAGAAATGTACAATAGGCTAACTGCAAAAAGTAAGCACATGCAAACAGTTGCTGGGGCAGAACACAACAAAAATACTATATTCATCCTTGGTGGTCTCCTTGGTAGTCACATATGCATTTCTAAACAGATGTCAACAGTATTAAAATAATATACATTATAAAAGACATAAAACAAACTCAGAATATCATCAGTATGTAAATATTTCTCATTATATATAAAATATCATATGTAACCATAACATTTAATTTCATCATTTAATCTAATTCTATGTTTCAGTATTGCTACATCTGAACATATTTTATAAATGTTGTGATCATAAGATTACTGACAGAATTAATGTAAGCTAAGCCAAATTCTAAGTCTGTTTGCACTCTAAAGATACATTTAATAAATAATATAGAGATATATATATTTATATATATGTTGTATGCCAGTAACAGTAAAATATGCTCTGAAATTGTACAATTCAACATTATGCTAAATACATATTTATAAGAATATCGTGAGGAACATAGATGTTTATATATCTATTTATTAGTTTGTTGTGGCTAACAATTATTTGGAACAGGAATTTCAGAAATTCTACTAAATTATTTTCTGAGATTAGGGTACCTGATCTTAGACTAATTAACCTCTTATTGTAAGTATTTTGTTCATTTTTCTAATTACAAATGGTCAAAAACTTAATGCTATGAGGAAATTGCAAAGGCATTGTATCCATGGAAACAAGTTTTGGTATTCTTATTGACTTAGAGTTTAATGCTAAATCATAAAGGCATATTGTATCCATGAAACATGTTTGGTACTCTTAATTTTTATTTGCTGATCAAAAATTAGTAAGTGCTTTTAACATTTTCTTACTAATAAGACTTATAATAATCTGTTGTAATGGAAATTTCTGTCAAAATAGTTTAATATGGACCTAATAAATGGGAATACTGGACTGTGAAATCCAGTGAATGGTTCACTACATAACACTGAATTCAGACATTCATTATGAGCATATCATTTTGAATTAACACCCCAGTCATATGGCATATATGATATTTTATAGTTTCTATCAGCAATCAGTTCTCTAATTTGTTTCTTCTTGTCACCATCATTCATGTGCTCATGTATCCATTGCACCAACTGAAATATAAAATAGAATGTCATAGAATGCCTATTTAGGGAATATATTTACAAACAAGTCATGTGAAGAATATATGTGTGTGAGGGAATTTTAGATGCATTTTTGAAGTAAATAAATTAATAAAATTCTACAATCAAAATAAACTATTACAACTTTGCCCGATGAGAATCTAGATTATATAACAAATATGAATTCAGAATAGATACAAACAAACAATGTACTTGGAACCTGGTACGATCTTTTCCTTGCATGGCAAAAGTCAGAATAAAAATGCTGAAACAAGGAAATTTAATATATCTAAACAAACTTCTGTGTTCAAAATACTCGTTAAAATTTTTGGTGAAAACAATACTGACCAAAAAAGATTATAGAAGTCATCGTGATTGTATAAACAAATTAATCATTATCCATGTTCCTGAATTAATGCTGCATGTTCTAATTCTTATAAAATAATACATATAACATCAACAGCAATATACCCACGCAAAATTTGGCACACAAAATACTAGACAATGTGTTTTGGCAGCAAAAATGATTTATACTACAAAATATTGTTTCCACACTTATCTAATTGACAGATATTAGTGTTATACAATGTTATAACAAACATGTTTTTACATGCAGCAACGTTTTTGTTGTACACACAAAGTTTTTTTCTTTAATGTGCATTCAACAGAACATGTTTTAAGAGCGAAACTGTGAAAATATTTAAAGTTAATTGGGCACTGAGCTCTTCCCCAATCACAGTTTAAGTATTATACACTTCCAGTATTAATTAATAGAATTACTCTTATTTGAAGTTTACAATAACGATGTACTAAAGAAATCCAGAAAAGTGACAGTATGAAACTGATCAGAGGAGTTTACAATACTACAAAATTAAAGTTATTATTACCTCTTGCTTAGTGTTACCAAAATCTTCTTTGTACCATTTAAATATTTTACTGAGTCTGATTTCTTTACGACTCATGTCAACATCACATCCATCAGAACTTTCTAAGAATGCTTCTCCAGCAGCTTTCAGTTGGTTATCAATATCCTGAAAGCCAAGACAAAAAACAAACAAAAAAAACTGAATAAACAAGCTATAATATGAGGGAATATATATTCATAAAATAATGGTGGATGAATTCAGGTATTGTACACCCATCTTGTGATAATACTGTGACCCAGAAATAAAAAAAGAAAATAAACAGATATTTAGGATTCAGATTCTGCTATGCTGGTCTTACTATACTTGAATTTATATTTTGTAATTGATATATCAATATTACAGAAATATTTAGCAATTCAATGAATAAATAAATATTTGTCAATGAGTGTCTATCAATGCATGAAAACACTGACCCAATGTTATCAATGAATAAATGAATTGCTTATCAATGAATAGAAGTCCAATGAATTAATTTATGAATGAATGGATGAATGAATTAATTACTTATCATTGAAGGAATGCATGAAAGTTAATGAAGAAATAAATGCTTGTTTATAAATGAGTGGATGAATAAAAAAACTTTTATGAATAAGTGAGTGAATGAGTTAATACTGACCAATGAATAAATTAAAGAAATAATCAATGTTGCTTATTGTTAAATTAAAAAAAAATTACTTGTCAATAAGTCAATGAGTGTCCATCAATGAGTGCTTATCAGTGAATAAATCCAAACTAATGAATAGTTTATCAATGAAAGATTGTGAATGAATGAATGAACAAACAAACAAATGATTGAATGAGTAAATAACTATTCCTATACTTACATCAGCAGAGTATGTCTTGATAGGAGGACAACTCTTAGCCCCACAAACCAATGCAAAATGTATGCCAGGTTCATGTTTCTCCAGTGCTACTTGTAAACGAGGATCTTTAGCACCAAATGGTTTAGTTAACATACCAACACCTTTCCTGTTAGATCTTAAGACACCATTCTCCATATCTTGTAGGGAGTAAACATGGCCACCAATGATGTAACTCACAACATTGAAAAACTTTTTAAAAAAAATACAATACAATGTCAATTATGACAAGGATTTGTAGATAATGGTATAAATAAATGCAAATAAGTGATTCTACAAAAAAAAAGGTTAGTAAAAGGTAATATCTCAGGGTATATTTTATCATGTCTGAGTATTTGCATAGCATGTAAACCACACATATTTGTGTTTACATGGTTGAATTTCTCCAAGTGTCCAAGGCATTCTGTGATTTTATACTGAAAATCTATAATGTGTTTGGCATATGCGTGCTTCAGTTGACATGATTCAGCTTTGATAGCATTCTGTCTATGTAGGGTTCACCACTCCAACAAATTATTCCCAAGCAATTATTGTCTATAATCTTTGGGGTATATGAAGATTTGTCTCCCTCATAAGACAATTATTCATTGAAGTGCTCTCAAAATGAATAATTGCCACATCAGGGAGGCGAATCTGTGTAGATGCCGTTAGAGTGGAATGCCACTGTGATTTGCATAAACTGAGGGGAATATTCTGATTTATCCCATTTCACGTTACTGGCTCTCCTCTGATCAGTCCTGTGTGTTAGATGTGATTAAGTACTACTATTATACATCTGTCACCGTAATGCCATAAGTTACAGTGTGCCGTAATTTATTATAATTATAATATTTTTCGAGATATTTTAACTATTAGGAAATCCGAATTTTAAATATGGAATGATTACGTGCGTAAGTGTCCGCTAATAATAAAAAACAAACATGGCTGCCACCAGAGTTTGACAGGACTTCACACAAAGAAGTTCACTGATTCTGTTCTAAACATATGGATTTCGGCATTCCCATGGTGTATCCTTGGGAAGGAAAAGATGTATAATAATAAGGTTATTAGGAGAATACCTCAAAGTATGCACTCAGATGCACGCACATCGACCTCTGCTGTGCATCCTTTGACACTCCAGCTGTACTGTCTTCATGCATACTTTATGGTATCCTCGTAATAACCTCATAGTAACAGTTTTGTATAGCATATAAACACACTTATTTATAACTGAACATAATTCAATTTAGAATTTAGGTGCAGGGTACAACTATGAATATTGCTGAGAAGGAGATTAATTAATCAAGTTGAACTTTATAAATCACTTGAAAACCTCAAGGTTCGACTTGACTATTACCAAATACAGGTACAAAGAGATCAATAAACAACTTACCTTGTATCTCTGCCAAAGGTTTACTGGTGGTCCCACTTTTACATTAGCGTGTATAACCAATGCATTATAGATATTAATAAAGAATGCCAGCTTCTCTTCTCTTTTCAGACTATTCATATCTAGTCTGATAAGCTCTGCTGTTGTTTTCACATATAAGTTGAATTTCTTACTCTCCGCAATGCCTTTATAGTCAACACTCTTGAGAGAAGAATGTATGTCAGTGAGTTTTTAAGAAAATGTGAGTTAGTGGGAGACCATTATTGATATTTGCAACATATCAAGTATGAAACAAACACATTATGATATATAATACATTATACAGCATGTATAATATTTGTGTCATTTATCATTGGTTTCTATGGTTACAAGAGTAATAACATATTGTAATGGTTGTCATGAATTATTGGAGAATTTTGTGAACTCTTAGTATTTTGGCTTTTTTTTAACATGCCCATTTTTGAACAGTTTTCACCCAAAAATATAATTCATTTAGTGTAAAAATAATGAATAATTGACATGTGTCCTAATCAATAATTATGCAACATTTTTGAAACAAAAAATTTTGTAATATTATACTATAAAACCATTTATTTTAACTGGATTTAATTTCACTATTCAGATGTTTGAGCCTTTTAACATGGTTTTGAATGGCCACATTTGAAATAACATTTCCATTGTTATTTTACATGTTCACATGGATTTAATTTAGTATATTTTTCTCATCAGCGAAAATAGAGAAATTGAAACCCAGTGTATAATTAATGCCTTTACAGTATTTAGCTCATTTATACCTTGCCATCTGATGAGAGGAAGTCAGAGTAAATCGCAAGAATAAGACGCCTCAGGTATTCACTTAATTCCGTAGCTAAAAAATAAGTAAGTTTGAGTTGTAGTAGCTACAATCAGTGGATTCTATTTACTGCTTCTTTATTTTGGTCAAGTTAAAATTCAGTATATTGTATTTTTCATTATTTATGGCTTCATTACATAGCGTATTAGAAGATTGACATAAGTCTGTTGCACAGGAAGCATATGCAAGATAATAATTATGGAATCTCCTCCACTGAAAGTATCTTAGAATTCACAGATGGAGATTCATACCTGGTCTGGGTTCACATTCTGAAGATAACCCAGCATTTAGAGCAGAGGATTCATCATCCTCCATTAATCGATAGTGAGTATTGTCATCACGAAATTCATTGACTGAGTCTTTAACATGGTGCCCAAAATGATGTTCCAATAAATTCTGACCCATCTCAACCCCCTTTGCTCTATCTGTTGATATCAATATAACCACAAAGAAAGAAAAAATAATTAAGCATGCATATTGGTGCTACAATTTATACATTTTAATTATTTCTTCTATAATTTCATGTAAATTTTGTACCAAATAGACCTTATATGAAAGGTAACGAAAGTGGACCTTGGTTAATGACAGAACACATGATCACCAATAACAAATATTGTGACTATCACCTACAACTCAGATTGATAAAAAACAGATGTACCGACCGACTCATGACTGCTGATGTCAAACTATAGGAGAAAATATTGTTGGATTTATACCATATTTGCTCTATTATAAAAGCATGTAAACCAGCAGTCACATGTATTGAATACTGTGTCTTTAAAAAATGTTATTTTTACCAGAGATACATCATACATATGCAAATTGGATATAATTAAACACTAAACACTCTGAGAGTAAAACACATTGAGTAATGTTCTGTCTAGACAGGTGTTGCTTACCTACTCGTTTTGTTTGAACCATCCAATCTACAAACTCTTTACCAATAAATGATTGTTTGTGTACTCTCAGTCCAGATCTATGGTCTTTAATCAATCCACTTGCTTTTAAATCACGTACTAACAAGGCATACTCATCTAATTCACAGGTGAAATCTAAATTACCTAAAAACCAGAAAGTTGTAGAAATGAAGAATGCGAAACAATGAAGAATGCAAAACATTGCAAATTAAAAATATAAATAAATGAATAATATGACAATCAATAACTGACTTATTTTAATAGTTCGCTATAAAATGGCTGAAAGTGTAAATATTTTATTAAAAATCATACTCCTAAAAACACAGAAGGGGAAGTGAAAAAAAATAAGTATGGGTTAGATATAAGAACAGTTCTAACTATTTATTGAGGCACTTATGAAAGCAAACAAATTAGAAATATGTTTACATGCACTAAGAGTGTAATCAATATATCTCAACATGCAATTATAAGGGGCAATTACATAAAAACAAAACTGCACATATTGAACACTAGAGGGCAGTATATCAAAATTAATGAATGGATATTATATTACTAGTAAGTAGAGTGTGATATTTCACTGTATGATACCCATGTACTAAAATCTAGAACTAGTCAAAATTTTTACAATAATTCTATTTCATTTATATTTTTTATTTTATTTTTTGTTGTTGCTATTTTATTGTTTTAAACAAATTTAATTATCTATAAATCATATATTTTATTTCACTTTAATTTGATATGTATGTGCTAGTAGTTTTTTGAATTTTTGGTAATCATGAAAGCCCTTGATGGTTGAAATTATACAAAGACTTGCCCATGAAAATGCAATACAATATTACAAAATAATAAAATAAAAAAAAAATGTATTCAGATTGTATATATATATACAATGTATAAAGTTATAGTTATTTTGAAAACAAAACAATTGTATTTATTTGCCACAAGAGGGCAGTATACTGAGTAATGTGAGATTTAACCATAAAATGAGGAACTTCCACTAACCAATTTCAGGGTTTTTCATTAAACTTGGATCAGGCAGTTGTGGTGCATCTGGTGGAACCTCGTTGTTTGTTACATCGTCAATTAAAGTATCAAGCTGGGTTTTATCTTTCACCTGAAACATAATATTTGAATATGGTGAAAATCAGAAAAGCTAACAAAAGACAAATTTTCAAATTTGTATACAAAAAACCCATGTGTAAACTTATATAAACTACATATACATCGTGTTTATACTAAATGTCTATACATGGTTTGGTGGACATCTTGGATTTCTGACCCAAATCTTCAGCATTGTTTTCTATGTATAATTTTACCAATCTGCTTGAAATTGTGAATGCAGTATTTATTGCCAAAAATAATCAGAAAAATAGTCATGCGTACATTGGTGTTGCTTCGTCAAGCTGTTTATGAACACTGCTGAAAGTCATATTGTCAAACTTGCTGTGCTTAATAGCCCTGATTTGAGGAGATGTACCTAACTTTCAGAATATTGATAGGACAACTGGTTTGACAGCCATATATACAAGTTGAATCAGATTTTAAACTCTTTCTGAGGGTCTAAGGCATTCTGATATTTTGGTTGTCAAATTATTGATATATGAGCTACCTATTTTACAAATAAAAATGTCAGCACCCAAGTGACTTTTCCCAAATTTATTACTTTAGTTGCATACATATCAGTTTTGTAGTTTACAACATATCACTATTCATGAACAAAGGGGAAAAGTACACGCTATTCCACAACGTTCTGGTCAAACATTTTCATTTGAGGAAATAAATAACAAACAACAAACTAGAAGCAAATGTTCACAAAGATTCTCTAGGGCATGTTTAGTAGATGTGAAAGATGAAAAGAGGCAATCACTATGACAACCTTAAAATCAGATGAACAATTGTGGATAAATACCTATGAGATTAGAGATGAGGTGAAAACAAATATTGCAGAAACAATTTATAGATCCACAAGATCTTAAATTTGTTCTCTTGATTATTTTTTTTATATTCACAGTTTAGCATTTATTATATGTATACTAGTAACATACATGCATTAAAGGTTGAATAGGATTGCCAAAAAATCCTCTTAAACAGAAAACAAACAAATACTGATAAGCAGAATTGAAAAAAAAAAAACGGGTGAGGAGCAGGTTTCTAACAGACAGGTGCAATGACAGGGAAGCAAAATAATTTTTTTTGTTTGGCCTAGGTAAGAGGAGAAAATTTCACAAAAGACGATGTGACCTGTCTCAAGAAAAAACAATCCAACGACGAAAAAAAAGATTTCCTGATTTTTGTACAAGTATGTTGCTGTATACTTGACATCACACATATAAGAAAATTTTAATTTAATTTTAAATAAACATTGGTTTATACTTATAAAATAAATATTCAACATAATATCGAATAGAATTTTTTTTTTTCACTGTGAACTTATAGTATTTCACATAAAAATGGTTGGTTATTTTTTTTTTTTTACTTTTTCGACGTAAAGTTGCATTTCCACTTTGTATTATTTGCAGACACCTCTCACCGATCATTGTGTCACAATGTAAAATGATAATATCCATGGCAATGAATCCTGACATATAATATTGCAGCTCTGTGAGGCTATTTGCTGCTCTGACAGATACGAGCCACTTTGTATGTGCATGGTTTTCTAAATTCGGTTTCAGTATTCTGTTGAATATTTGATCATTTCTCCTGAACTATAGTGTGGATTTCTGCAGATCATACATTTCATCATTTTGTGGTGATACTTTCAGAGCATCACCATAAAATAATAAATTGAGGAAGTCAATGAACTTTCTGACTGCACATTAAAACCACACCCTAATCAATATTGATCAACATTCACGTTATCACAAACAATCATGATTTCATGTTTAATCAAACTGTTGCAGAAATTTGAAAACAAATATTAATGGATAATTAAGAGTACAAGTCACAATCAGTCAATATTTATATGTATGACTGTAAAATATGCATGTAAAATAGATTGTTTGTGTACATGAAATTCAAACATTCGCTGCCTTGTGACGACCACAGCAGACATCATGCTATTTTTAATACATAAAAAATTACTCAAGTTTAAAACACTACAGAATTGTTTGCACCCTATGAAATCTTTTTTTGAAATATTCAGATATTCTTTTATAATCATTTACATGTGTTTTAACTGAAGTCAGACGTTACTGCACAATAAGTCAGTATTTACCTGTTATGGATGCAGCTTATAGAATTAGTAAATGACTGGGCTGGTTTTTTTATATTTTTGTGAGAGGATAAACAATCAACTCCTATAAATATCCTATCCTATAACAACACAGACTAGTGGTGAGGTGTCTTTTAATTAATTATTAACAAAGTTGAATTGCTTAATTTACATAAGATAAGATAAGATAAATTTTATTTGGTACGGGAACATATAACATGCATAAGAAGATACAGAGATCGAAATACAGAGAATGACCTTACTGCACACAAATTCACAGGTGAGTCAGCATTTTCAAGTTCAAACATAGATTTTATAATTTTTTTTTTAAATACAAAGCATCAATTGGGAACATTGAGAAGGCAATGAGCATAACATAACTGCACCGTAAATAAACATAGTATTTGGGGGTCACTGACAAGGAATGTGACGTACGGGTCTGCGTGCCACACCCCCACCCCCACCTGATCCAGATCTATGACAATAAGTTAAGATAAGTTTACTGTACCAGTTCCTGGAGTTCTGCATTGCCACCGATGTGCTTGGCATTGAAGAAGATTTGCGGCACAGACGTTTTTCCGGTCCGCTCTTTCACTTCTTCCCGTACTGAATCGGGGTAGTTATCAATACTCACATCAACGTACGTCAAATTCAACTCATGTAGTGTCGATTTAGCACGCATACAATGAGGACACCCGACAATCGAATATATCAATATTCTGCCTTTCATTTTTGGCACATTAATGCAAGCCACATACGAAAGTTATTAAATACAGTACGTCGATCCGTACATCTGTCAGCGTTGTGCGCCAGAGTGTGAAGTCGGCACGCAATAACAGCCTGTAATTGAAGCCGATGAGCAATACTCACCGGCAATATAAATGGCCGCTCGTTAACGGATCTTTTACCGTGGGCTTTTTCCACAGCTACTAACAAGATATTAACCAGCATAGAAATAAACACATACAAAAATTGCGAAAATGTTCTAGCATAATTCAGACCATCAATTTTATCAAGGGATCAGAACTACGCAGGTGGTTTGATGGATATTGAAAAAATAATCTGCACAGAGAAAAAAAATGAAAATTACAAAATCAAACATAAACACACACACATCACATGTGCATAAATGTGTTTATCTTTCAATATAATCTTTTGTTCGGTAACTTTTCCTAAATATTTTTTGTTTCAACATTTTATTATTCCATTTACTTATACTGCTGGCAATTAGGCCAGACTTTCATTGTTTCTCGAGTTTTTATAAGGCAATTTTTTTGAGGAGGGCAGAAATAAAATTAATTCTTTTTTCCATTAGATTTGTGTGATTCTCAGAGAATTGCAAGTGAGATCATTGATCGGAGAGAAAAAATGAAATAAAATTTTATTCCATGTATAACCTTGTTTCTCATCTGTGCGAGACTTCGGTACTTTGATCATGGTACTCCCACGAAAATGCAACTTGGGTTTGTTATGCGGCGGGCGGAAAAAAAATAAAGATAAAAATAAGTTTTTATTAGCATTTTTTTGCACTTACAAGTCGGCGGGCGCGAGAAATTACGCCGAACTAAATTTTTCATTCATTTTCGGCTCCTGTTCATTCGGCGGGTTCGCGAAACAAGAGATAATAAAGTCTTGCTTTATTCCAATAGCTGTTATTATTGCACGGTATTGAAACTGGCACATAATAGCATCACGAAATATAAAACTACCGTAAAGTGGTGGTCTATCAAAATAAACTGATTATGGTTAGTATCAAGTTAATTGTCAACAAACCAGTAATACGAAGCCATACAATTTTAAAATTAAATGTTATTTCCAGACAGAAAACGCTACCCCATAAAACTTGCTACATGATTTTTCAATCAATCAATTCAATTAAAACGGCTGGGGCAATTACAAAATAACTATGTTTTCTAGTGTGATATATCAATCGAAAGTACTACAATGCAATATTAGATTGCAAGTATTAGTATATCATACACAATCTGGCCACAGTCCCGGCCCTCTAGAGAGACTGTGATCTGGCACTTTAACCCCCCCCCCCCCCGAAAGCACGCCCTAGTCTTGGCCGATAGTACACGTTTTTAACAAATAATCGACATCTCGCGTTGAATTAAACCACAGTCCCTCAGTGTTGAAGTAGTAAATATATATATGTTTATAAAATGAATTCTACTTAGAGTACTTTCCTTTTCTTTTTGGTGGGGATTACAGATATAGTTCATCAGAACTAGTCGAGTCCGTAACCCCTGTATATATAATTTCATAGTTTAATCACAGAAATCTTCAAATAAAGAATGAAAAAAAAATATTACAAATCAAATATTGAAGTCATAGATATAGCATGGTTACCCAGTGACAATACTTTGTACCGCAATGTGACTGATGTAAATATTGTCTACTTTTAATTTAGTACTCTTTCAATTAATGTACCACATTAGAAAGTAAAATTGTTTTTGAAATAACTGCAATAGGCTTGATTAAATACAACTTTTTGGAAAACGTGAAATATTGACCATGTGTAGGACGATGTTATGGATGTTATGTGTTTTGTATCGGAATAGGACTGATGTACTTATAATGTAGTTATACACACAATTGGTTTATAGTATGTGAAGCAGCAGGTTTGATTAAACACCAATGAGATCGCAATTATAGTACTTGATAACAACATATGTCGAATATATTAGCCAAGTATAGTGCGATAGTTAATTTTGCCGGTAAATACTGGATGGCTTCTATCCGATTTTGTTGAAATTTAATACCAACAAGGTGAATTAGTAAAGACACACATTTCATTTATTATTATGTGAGTCAGACATGGTTTTAGTAAACGTGAGTCAGACTACCGCTATGTGCGACAAAAACACAATGTTACTATAGTGTGTGCCAGCTTTTACTGCAATGCTATTATTGTGTGCCACTTTCACATAAGCCTTTTGATGTGATGTTTCATGAATGAACAAAGTGATATAAGCGTTCTCCTTTAGCCCTGTTTCTAGGCACCCATTGTAGGTTAGTGATATGAGCGTACGTTTAGTACGCCCATTATGTCATATTCTTAAACTCAGGTTATTCTTACTTTACTTTTCAGAACTCTGAAATAATCTTTACGCGTTTGCGTAATCCGGTCAACTGGGAAAAAGTTCCTTTTATATACCGTACGTACCCCACCCTTAACCCTTTTTCTCAGCCCCTATTTAATTTTCTATGCCCAATCTAGATAACTGTAGGTGTCCGTTGAGTGACGTGAATACCTATATGCGTAAGTAGGGGGGTGCCTGTATATCTTAAAGTGCTTGTGCTATAATAATAATAATAATAATCTTTAACACTCGAGAAAAATATTCAGTACCTCCACCAGATTATAAAATTTACAATGACAAACATTTTTTTAATTATTTTTGTTTCCCAATAAGTTGTACTTATAGGTTTTTGTGAGACCATATATGTGGTTTATCTTAAAGTTACTTTTCAGAATATATTGCCTTAAGATGAGTAAAGTGCTAAGTCATTTACTACATAGAAGGAAGTCCATGAAATCAAAAACACTGTCATTGGACTTGTGCTAATTTACAAAGAAATAAATAATTTTGACCTTTATATTTGTATAAAATTTACTTTTTGTGCCCCTCCCCTCGTGGTTACAGCACTCTAATCAAAACCCTGACAAAAATGTATTATTTAAAACAAGTAGCCTGTCAGCTGATATAGCCCTGCTGTTAGTGATTAACATTTTACAAGCAATCTTTACCAGAGTATAAGATGTACAGTGCGCAGAGTGAATTGATGTCTGAGATATTTAAAATAACAAAATTAAAAATGCAATACTAAACAATATTTCTGTTATATAAAAATGCAAATTGTAACAGACTGCAGTCGTGCGACATTTGTGTTGATAAACATTGATTAAAGATGATAATAACATTTTTTACCCACATTTTTTTAGCTATGCTGCTAGGCAAACTCTTCAAGTACGTACAGCACTGAGCTTAAAGTGTGCCTTATATGGGTCAATCAGTGACACTGACAAATATGTATCTTTCAATGGTACATGTACACCCAAACTATACAACCTTTTTTTAGGTACACCGAATATTTCAAAAAGGGAACAGGCAAAATTTGAGTAAATTTTCAGCTTTTACTAATAAAATTTGGTTATTTTTGTCCAAATCTTCTGAAAGAAAGTGCAGACTATAAATAGGATATTTTGTGAAAAACAGAGATAATTTTAAGTGGTGGAAAGATTAATATATTGATAACTTATCAACATTTAATCTGGAGTGCCCACTGCTTTTAATATCTAAATAATATAAACTGTTCATCTACATGTATACATGTATGTGCTCTGTACATTT